CTTCCCCCACCCCCGGTGACGCTAGGGACCTCCCTGATTCTCTTAGTGCTTAGTTCAGGTAAGCAATTCCAGTAAGTTCTGGTACTGAATAAAACATAAACATAAAACAGAATTTCAAATGTTCTTTTTTTTTTTGGGGGGGGGAGGGGGGGAGTCTAGCACCTCCCAACTGCCCCCTTTTGTAACCAAATCCCTCTGTCCCTCTTTCTTCTTCAGTCGTCCCTCTTTTTTTATCTGATGTACAGATAACTATGAAAATGTACTATGTAACTCTATGCTAACAGATATGCCAGCTAACATTTCATGTACAGGTATTCCTCACTTAACGACCGAGTTCCGCTCCTACGACCAGGTCGTTAAACGGATTGGTCGTTAAGTGGGGAACTCTATACAGTACTGTACTGCATTAGTACAGTACTGTGTAGCGTTGCAGATGTACAGTACCGAGCAGTGTACTGTACATCGGGCAATGAAAATACTTACCGGGACCCGCAGTGAAGTTCGGAGGACACCACTTCGGCCGGCGACACGGCGCGCCGACGCGCAAGGTCGGCGGTCGATCGGCGGTCCGTCCTAAGTGCGAGTGGTTGCAAAACAGGTAAGTCGGTAAGCAAGGAACATCTGTATAACCTATAAATTGGGGCTGTGGAAATGAAAGATTAATTTCTCAATTAATCGTTAAACTTTTTGATCGATTAAAATTATTTTAATCGCTAATGAAAACACTCACCTCGCCGGTGAGGTCACGGACATCGACGTCACCGGGCTCCTTCCCCCTTCGTTAGCCGACGAAGCTACTTGGGCCGGTGAGTTTGCCCAATAAACTTTCTGCATGAGCGCCAGCCAAGGAATAATAAAATGAACTAGGATCACACTAATCCAGCGCGTTATTATTCTGAGTTGCCCCACTCAAGCGGCGGCCATATTGAGTGGGGCACGTGAGATTAATAACGTGCTGGATTACTGTGATCCTAGTTCATTTTATTACTTCATTGCTGTGCTGTATGTGTATAGGCCAATGTAGTTGGATCTGTATGTGCGTTATAATTAATCGATTAAAAAAAATTTAGATTAATCGAACACGCAAATTTTAATCATTACCAGCCCTACTATAAATACACAAATAAGTGTATTTAAGTGTATGTATAGCCAACATCTTTTTAGATTTGGATATAGTAGGCTAGGATTAGAATCCCTAACAGGTTTTTAATGTTGTCTGTGTCACTGCTGATGCAATTCACCCTCTCTGTTTGTCAAACCGATCATTATCACCAAGGCAGAAAGTGATGGGAATTCCGGAGATGTAGAGTTGTCAGCGGAATAAAACTGAAAAATGGGGGCACTACATACAATTTAAAGGGTTTCTAAACCCTCCGTTTTTTTTGCACTGCTAGCAAGCAAAAAAAAAAAACGTTTTTAAAGCAGTTTAAACGTAACCCTGTCTTCGCCGCACGCTCCCGTCCGAGAATCCGAAACTGCTCGGGCGCATGCACAGTTCAGATTTTCGGCCAGGAGACGAGGATGGTAAGTCTATGGATGCGTGCACCCACATGCAGACACCGTGGGACAGGAAGTGCCAGCAAGGACAGAGGAGTCAGTGCTGGATCGGAGACACGCCACACCGCTGGAGAGAAGGTTGAAAAGGACAGGAAAGAAGAAGAAGATCGGATTAAGAGACATCATTTAAGGTAAGTGCTTTAATTAACATTGGGGGGGAGGGAAAAAAATATATCCTTTAATGTCACTTTAAGGCTAGTCGTCAGAGGTAGGTTACTGTAACCAGTGGTGTCCCTAGCCTAGTGGAGGGGGGTGGGGTAGAGGAGACAGCATCATACTGCTTCATTAAAGGGACGGCACTGACCATAACTGAACACCAGGTGACTCAGGTGGACAGGGCTGCCCCAAAATGTAAATTGCTGTGCTAGATCTGTGCTGTGTACCAAAGAAGAGGATCTTGGACTTTGTGGTCAAGCAGGACTAAGCTGGTAGATTTGTATGTGATCAATATGTGCAAAGTGATGGAAAAGGCTTGTTGCACTCCTTACCGGAAAGTCCCACAATCAGGGAAGGGTGCTTGGAATGACTGCGGATGGCGGCGCCACCAATTGCACATAATATGAGAAATGTCACCAGCACACCGAGTTCCTTCAAAGATAATCAATCATGTTTTTGACATGAGTTTTCAATAAACCCCCAATATGTGCAAAGGTCTGCACTTCTTCACCCTTGATCCTATCATTGTAGAATTGGGAATGAAGTTCCATCTCGCGGCCATCATATGTTCGCGGGGAATCCCTGGGATTCAAAAATCACAAACTTTTGTTGTTATGCTTACTTTTATTTGGCTAGTGACTATTTCAATGTATTCTTGTGAAGATTGCCTAAAAGTAATTCTTGATGGGATTTCCGAAATGTTACCATGATTTATATATTTATATTTCATAAAGACTTGCATGGACTTCGACCAGGGCCGGCCTTTAGGCGCCCTGTGCGAGAAAGCTTTACAGCGCCCCTCAGTGACCACACCCCTCAGTAACCACACCCATTTTTCCAATATTCGCACCATTTAAAGACTCCCACTTTGTTAAGCCCCAAAGAAACATATTAAAAAGTATGATAGCAATAACACTTTTATTCAAAGGTATTAAACTTGTAGGCACAATATAAGTATTCTTATTACATAAAACAACAGAAGGTAAACAAATGGTAAACAATAAATGGCAAACTAAAATAGAGTCTATGAAAATAAAGTGTCAGGTTGTCATGCCGATCCCTTTTTTCAAGTAAGTGTATCTAGAAAAGGAAAAATAAAAAACAGAACACAAAACCTAGACTACATTTAAAATGAATGAATTACTATATGTCCGAATATACGAAAAATGTATTCCGACACATAATAATTTGTTTGAGAATGTGCGGCGGCCATGTTGGTCACCGATGCGTTCTGCGAATGCGTGCCACCATCTTGGAGGCGGGGAGCATGACGTCACATGACGCCATGCGTGCGTGGCATACGGTGATATAGGAGCCCCCATCTTGGTGTATACCTAAATATACACCAAGATGGCGGCGCCCAACACATGCGGTGTTATATGACGTCATGTGCCCTGCCTCCAGAACACGCCAATGGCTGAATCCAAAAAAGCATACAAATTTGTTTTGTTTGATTCTTTTTTATTCCCCTTTTTATTGGGGAACAAAAAGTAGCCCCTCTGCAGAAGGAAGGACAGTATCAGCACCAATTCAGAGATGATTTGAGGATCTACAGCCGAGTGATACACAAATAGGATACATTGTTGTTCATAGTTAAAGGAGAACTATGGGGTCAGTGTTTTTCCCCATAGTTCTCCTAATGGTCACGGGAGGACACAAACTAGTGTCCTCCCGTGACCCAAAGCTCAGTATACCGCAAGCTACAGCTCACGGTATACTGAGACCGCCGCAGCCGGGATGGATGCCGACATAACTGTCGAGATCCACCCAGCTGCGTGATTGACAGCTGGCTCTGCCTATCTAGAGGCAGAGCTAGCTGTACCCGCCCCTCCCCCGTCTGTTCCACCAGTCAGCACTGGAGGATCGGAGCGGGGAGGGGGGAATCCCTGCAGGGAGCCGTGACTGACAGTCACGGCTCTCTGCAGGACGGGATCAAGAAGCGAGCGAGCAACGGTATGTGTTCGCTCACTTCCTGATCTATTGAGCCGAGCCCCTTCCCCTGTAATGCCTTAGTGCATTTGACAAGTGGTTGCAGAAACCAGTCAATGTATTCACCCAGGCGGGATGTTAGTGAATTTATGCCATGAAATATATTACCGGTACTCTTCCCACTGTGGGCAGCAGGTATTTATACTCCTTTTTAGTTAAGATCTTCTTTTTCAATCCCTCTTTCAGCAATAGTTTTAGTTGTTTCTTAATTTCTATGGTTGGGTTTTTCTTCAGTTTTTTTATATGTCTCCTGGTCTCCTAGGATATTTTTCATTTCCTCTTCATAATATGTTTTGTGCAGCAGAACCACGCCCCTTCCTTTGTCTGCTGGATGAATCACGATTTCCTTCTTTTCTTCCAGACGTTTTAAACCTTTGTCTATGTATTCCTTATTTCTTTTATTCTTTATTTTCAGTCCTCTGAGCTCCTCCTCTACCATAACTTTAAAAACTTCAATGTGGTGACTAGTCTTAGTATTGGGGTTAAAAGTAGATTTATTCAAATTTACAAATCTTACAAATTTATTTAAATCTATATAGGTCCCAAATTTATCAAGGTTCCTTATTGGTGCGAATTTTAATCCTAAATCTAATACTCAAATTTCCTCTTGTGAAAGAGTGATTGAGCTTAAGTTAAAAATGCCCTCTCCTATTCTTCCCATCTTTGTTCTCTTCCATACTCTCTTTCCACCCCTTGTCCCCCTCTTCCGAAATTTCTTCTTCCCCTTCCCCTGTACTGTTCCGCCAGTCAGCGCTGGAGGATCGGACAGGGGTGGGGGAATCCCTGCAGGGAGCCGTGACTGACAGTCACGGCTCTCTGCAGGGACGGTATCGAGAAGTGAGCGAGCGACGGTATGTGTTCGCTCACTTCCTGATCTATTGAGCCGAGCTGTGACAGTTTCATTGTCACACGTCGGCTCGAACTATGAGGATGAGTGATTTTCACTCACCTCATAGTTCTCCTTTAAGGCTTGAATGTATTTTTAAGATTTAATTAATGGGTTTATTGTCAGTTTAAATAACTGTTTGCAGAGTCTTTCTTCAGCTACCCCTTGCTAGTGGTCTATTTTCTGTAAGTATTACCTCCAAGGTTCCTACACCAGAGTATAGGAAGAGCAACATTTGTAGCCCATCGCAGAGAAATAAGTGACAAGGAGGCTAGCCAATAGTGTGCCGTTCTCTCTGTATTGTGTTCATACTTACCTCACTCTGCACTCTGCATACACCTGATTCTGGCTTCTATGAAGGCTTCTAAGCCTGATATTAAATGTAACAAATAAAATCCCTTCTTTTTTCTAGGTATTGAACCATCAATTGTCATCTTGGTGTTTGGTCTGGTGTTTGCCTTGTCTCTGTGCGGTGTTGCGATCTCCTATCTTATCAGGTAAAAATACAGAGCTTTTCTACTTGTATAGACATGAATCCTCAGCATGTCACCTTCTTCTTACCACTTGTTTACTTACTCCTATTCCTTCCCATTTCATTCCTTATCCCACCTCACCCATCATTCCTGCCTTAACCTTGTTCCTTAAAGCAGCTTTTCTCATCCTTTTTTCAGTCACGGCATCCTTTCAAAGTATGCAAAGAGACACCCCAGTATAAAGTGGGGAAAAAAAGGATAATGTGAAAAAATGACTTGTTGCCCCTCCAAAGTCCATACCAGACCCTAATCCCAGATAGGGATCTGGTGAAGATTTTAGGGGGGCTCACACTGAAACACAAAAAATGGGGATCCCGCTTCACATCAGAGTCTTTCGTTCAAATCAGGAGCCTCCTCCTTTCACAACAGAGTCCCCCATCTATTTAGCTGGGCGGGGAGATGTGTTAGAGCCATACACATCTTCCCACCCAGCTCTTAGCAACCTGGGATGCTCTGGCAGGCGTTCCACTCAACTCCTGGCAACCAATGACATCACTGGTTGCCAGGAGCTGGACAGGACACCAGCCAGAAAATCCCAGGTTGCTAAAGGCCGGGTGGGGAGATGTGTAAGGTCCATACACATCTACCCGCCCAGCTTTTAGCAACCACTCTGGCTGGCATCATACTCAACTCAGCTGAGCGGGATGCTCTGGCCGGCGTCTCATCCAGCCACTGGCAACCAGTGACGTCACTGGTTGCCAGGAACTGAGTGGGTCGCTCTGGCTGCTACACTCACCCCAAAGCCTCATCCCTGGTAGTGTGCACCACCAGTATCCCATTCCCCGGCTAGGGATGCCCCTGTTGTTAGCATTTAATAAATACAACAGCTTATACTTGTTGCTCAACATTCGGCAATGTCTCTTTTACTATAAAACCAAATATAAAAATAAAATAAATGTAATATCGTCACAGGAATATATTTGGGAGGGAAGCTCCGGTTTTGAAGCCCAGATCTCCAGAAATCAGGTCTGGTGTCAAGTATACATCCCATGTGGCTCGACTCCGATGACATCACTGACAGCTGGGCGCTTCGGCTCACCCTGGGCCGCCGGGAGATATTTTCCTGCAGACCTCAGGCTGCATCTTGAAATAATCTCCAGAATTTAATTTGTGCTCTTTGTTTAATGTGTTCAAAATCCCTTTGACATGGCGATATAATTGAGGTTCAGTGTTCGTACAAAGGTTAAGCAGTCGTGGATGGCTGTGAATTGCATCAGCAGAAAGGATTATACGTTTTATTATGAATCTTATTTTATATTTTATTCAAGCATTGACGCATATGACATTATTTTCTGTTGCTATGACTGACGCAGGAAACAACTTTAAACATTTCACATTAAAGTAGAAGATAAAATGTTTTTTTTTCTTCTTGCTTTTTGTATTTTCTGACTTTTCTTTTTTTCTATTTCTTGATTTTACATATCGATGCAAACACACGTGTTTATATCTGTACTTATATTATTCAAGAATGTTATATTGTATATATATATTGTTATATTGTATATAAACCCAGGAACAAAAATTGAATTTATTGCAGCTTACTGTTCCATGTGGTGGCTGCATTAGTTTTCTTTTCAGGCTTTTTCACCTTTATTTTCAGCTGGTGATTCTGCCAGAAGTGATCCTGCCCTAGGGTGATAACCCTCACTGTATTGTATCTATGGAGGAGTAACGTTGCCATCCTAGGCCAGGGTCTACAGAACACCTTCTTTTCCACCCTAGGCCAGGGACTACAGAACACCTTCTTTTCCACCCTAGGCCAGGTCTACAGAATACCTCCTTTTCCACCCTAGGCCATTGACTACAGAACACCTCCTCCTCCACCATAGGCAAGGAATTACAGAAAACCTCCTACTTTCCTCCTCTCTATATCATAGGCAGGAGGCAGAGAGAACTAGGAACAATACTAAGTGGTGAGAGTCTGCAGCATCAGTGAATACAGGAAGTTATCAGCTCACAAGATTTCTGGCAGGATCAACAAGTATTTTTTGCACTTATCAAACAGATATAACAAAACACTTTTAAAGGTAATCATTTTAATAATTTAATATGGAAGTAAAGGCAGTTTACAAAAAAAAACAATTAGCATATTCCATGGCAAATCATGCTTGCAGTTAAATTGTGCTAACATTGGGAATGGCTGAAGATGCTTGGTTAAATAAACCCTGAGCCTACTCTACTATGGATCAAGCATGTGTAGAGCTGGGATCAGGAGTGTATAATGCACAAACTTCAGGGGTCAAGAGTGCGTAACACATGGAGTGGTGGGGTCAAGAGTGCAAGGAGCAGAGAGCAGGAATCAGGAGTATGTAATATACAGAGTGCAGGAGTAGGTAACACGTGCAATTAAGAGGTCACGAGCAAGAAACACATGGTCCACAGGGGTCATGAGTTGAAAAAGCATGGACTATAGAGGTCATCAGTAAGTAACGCATGGAGTACAGGGGACATCAGTAGGTAATGCATGGAGGACAGGGGTCATGAGTAGGGGACAGTAGCAAGTAACGTAGAGTTCAGAGCTCAGTAGTAAGTAATGCAGGGTTCGGTAGTAACACAGGGTTCAGGGGTCAGTAATAAGTGATGCAGAGTCCTAGAGGCAGCCATCATAGCATGTACAAAACTGACTATATATGACTGCAGTTCACTGCCACTGGGGACGTTTGTTTCCCGGGGAGAGACCTCTGAAAAATGGGGACTGCCCCCAGGAAATGCGGACTAATGGTAACCTTAATATTAGCACACTATGTCTTACAGACTTACCAGCTAAACCGATCTCCTCCAGAGCAGTGCTCCTCCTCTCTGGCATTTCTATCTTCAGCTTGGCTCGGCTCAGTAGCTGCTTAAATGCTGGCACCATTGATAGCCTTAAAGTGACATTAAAATCAGGTGTTAGATCTTAAAAATAATTCAAGTACCTTAACTGTAAAAAAAAAATGCATCTTATTTGTGTATTACTCGGCTGCAAGTCCTCAAATCATCTCTGAATTGGTGTTGACACTGTCCTTCCTTCTGGAGGGGGGCTACTTTTGTTCCCAATGGTCCCTGTGTGTGTTGTAAAGTAGCCAGTGCTCCAAGCTCACTCCTGTGATGGACTACAATCTCAATACAAATTAGTAAACTAAACTTGAGATTGTAGTTCACCATGGGAGCGAGCTTGGAGTTGTGACTACTTTGCAACACACACAGGGACCATGGGGAACAAAAGTAGCCACCCTCCAGGAGGAGGGATAGTGTCAGCACCAATTCAGAGATGATTTGAGGATCTACAGCCGAGTGATACACAAATAAGATACATTGTTGTTAATAGTTAAGGTACCTGAATGTATTTTTAATATTTAACTCCTGAGTCTGGTGTCATTGTAACAGTGAATGGTCATGCCTAGCTCCACCCACAGATTGACAGACACCTTGTAGATTAACAACACCTTTCTCAATCGGCAGGAGCTTATTAAAATGATGTAAAAAAACCCTGCTCAGTCCCTCCTGGCTCCCACACACTCCAGGTCTGTCTAGTGGGATGCAGAAGAAATCTAATTTCCCAGCTGTATTTACTATAAAAAGCAGAATTTTTTTTTTTTTTTGTAAAATCTCTAACATGTCAACTTGCCTTATAAATGCCTGTTTATCACTCCAAAAACTATTTTTTAAATGATCCCCCAAATTATAGCCGGGCTTTAGACATTCTAGGTTCTAAAGGGGAAGTCTTTTTTAGTTAATTACTGTTAGCTATTAATAGGAAAGAATGCAACTTAAGGAGAACCTTCTTTGCCTTGCCAGCAGTTTATGCTCACCATTCAATTACTACCCTACTACTTCATCTGGTTGTCATAAGCAAATATTTAAAGATATGGGGGGTAACCATGCTCTGAATTGTTTAATTGTTACACCAGTCTTTGTCTGGATCTATTCAAGGCTTTGTAAAATACACTATATGATCAAAATTATGTTGACACCCCTCCCAAATTATTGAGTTTGGGTATTTCCTGTAAAGAGTACTATTAATGTTACAGCATGCAAAGACATTTTAGACAAGTATTTTAGAGACGTTTGAGCTTCTGGCCTTGGGGTAACAGTTTGGTGAAGGTCATTTTCTACCCCAGCATGACTGTGCCCCTGTGTACAAAGCCAACTCCATAAAAACATGACTTAAAGGAGAACTATGGGGTTAAGTCTTTTCCCCATAGTTCTCCTTAGGGTAACAGGAGGACACAAACTAGCGTCCTCCCGTCACCCTAGGCTCAGTATACCCGAGCTGAAGCTTGAGGTATACTGAGATGCCGCAGCTGAAGCGGATCCCAACAATTGTGCCAGGATCCGCCCAGCTGCGTGACTGACAGCTGGCCCTGCCTATCTAGAGGCAGAACCAGCTGTACCCGCCCCCTCCCCCGTCCGTTCCGCCAGTCATCGCTGGAGTATCAGAGAGGGGAGGGGGGAATCCAGCCCCTCCCCTGTCACGGCAGAGAGCTGTGACAGGATCGAGAGGTGAGCAAACGCCGGTATGTGTTCGCTCACCTCCCGATCTACTGAGCCGACCTGTAACAGTCTCATTGTCACAGGTCGGCTAGAACTATGAGGTGAGTGAAAAGCACTCACCTCATAGTTCTCCTTTAATGAGTTTGGTGTGAGCCCTGACCTCAACCCTACTGAACACATTTGAATACCTTTGGTCTCTTCTCGTTCAGCATCAGTACCTGACAACACATTTTGGCTGAATGGACACAAATTCTCATAGACACACTCCAAAATCTTGTGGAAAGCCTTCCCATAGGAGTGGAGGCTGACTTCATATTAATTCCCATGGTTTTGGAATGGTATAGCCAACAATCATATACAGGTGTGATGGTCAGGTGTCCACAAACTTTTGGTCATATTTATTATGAACCTTCAGCCTTTCAGGGACTACACCTTTTAGTACACCCTGCTGGCCTCTGACTCAGATGTATAGAAGTCTGCATAAGCTTGACCTCCTAGACTCTTCCTATTCCTTGTTTTTGTAGCTTTACTAGAGTTAATAGATTGAACAAGGATTACAAATTTGTCATATGTCACTTGCATTACGCGGTTATTAAGTCCACATTTTGTAAGCTGACTGTGAAATGGTGCTAAATCCCAAGGGATACTAATGGGAGTGCTACATGATATTAATCCAGCTTCATAAACCATGTTATAATCATAACAAAATGTTTAGTATTTTCTGCCTTTTCCACAATGATAATAATAATAATATTTACAAATGAAATGTACCGTATATAAATTGAAAATCTATTTTTCAGTGTGCTTGGCATCATGCCTAAACAGAGTGTTTTATTGTGAATCCGTTATAAAGTTTCTTACCTAGAGATCCATCCCGTAGCAGCACTTCCTGTTGCAGGCGAGCCACTGCCTCGCATTAGGCTCCATTCACCTATCGCTTTTGCGTTTCCAGCAAGTTTTTCCGTGTGCGACGAAAATGCTAATATTATAAAATCCGCCCGGATGCCGCTCGTTTTCGGCTAATAAATAGTCGCGAACGTGCAAAATTCGACGGATTATCGCGCTTCTACTATTTCGGGGGCTGCGTGGTTTTGTACCGTGCGGTCCCCGCAATGGTCTGAACGATGCAAATTAAAATGCATTGTATTCTCTGTTTGGAGTGGCTCAGGTCTGAGTGGAGCCTTAAGCAGCAGTGATGTCAGCCTGCCATGTGCACTCCATCAGTTGGCCATTAAGCTGTCTATCAGGTTTATTAGACATGTAGACTAACAGCCAGCTGAAGGAGGTCCTTTTGCAAGCTGGCAATGTTGCTGCTAATTGTGACTGGTGTACCGCTGCCAGAATACCCAAACTGATTAGCTGCAGTCACTGTTTGTCCAAGACTTTGTGGATGGACTTTTGACAAACAGGGGTCCCAACAGGGTCACATACTGGTCAGATTTCACCAGTGTATGGCCAGCATTAGACAGCTGTCATCGGAAGAGGTGTCCCTATTGTCCGATTTCCACTAACCTCTTGTTCCTTTGAAAAGTGTAATATTTTGGATTCCATCACCGCCTGTTTCAGTGATAATAGGCACCAGGACACGTAGAGAAGTTTAATCTCCCCAGAGAAGACAGTAAATTTTACTGATTGGGGTTTCTAACTTTTTCCTACTCTATCCAAAACCAAAAAGAGTTTTGGCTTTAGATAAACATTAAAGTAAACATGTTACAGACTTAACTGGGTATATCAGGTATAAATCCATGAGTCAAAAAGATCAGTAGATCCAGATACAAAGACAACTGAAGTTATATGTAAATATTGACTGTTCCTGTAAACCTGTAACCCTAACACTATCCCTTCCATATGTAACCTTAACACTAGTTCATCCTAATGTAAAGTTAGCCCATTGTTTGCATACTCACATCTCCTGCATCAAGATCTGCCAAAGACTTGACCCTTCCTGCAATTAAAGATACCAGCAATGGGAACACCTTGAAGTAAATAGTTGCTGGGTTGGTAAACTAAAGGAAGTTATACAAATACCTAAATATGTGTGGTCATCTTAAAACCCATCTCAAGTTTCTCCCTCCACCCAAATCTCTTACACTTTTTTAAATTAAAAATCCCTTTATACATGCCATTTTTCTGAAAGTCTTCTGACAGTCTGGTGATGTCACAGGTTCTTCCTGTCTTCCTCTTTGCCCTGTCATTGTGTAAGCACAGTGCTATCCAAGAGTACTGTGAGTTCAAGCTGGCATGATCACAGTAGGCCTGTCCATGATGGCCTGGGGCCACAGGGAGTGAGTTGGATGACACTTGGCATTATTCAACATGGAAGAGGACTGGCGATAAATTGAGGAGTGGTGAGTCCCTGGGGAACAAAACCAGAACAGATGTAGGTATTGTAACCAGAGTTGCTTTTTATCTTTACTTCCACTGGAGCTTATGTTTTTGGATTGTTTAAAGTGGCGTTTGGCTTAAAGGCGTCATTTACACCAATGTGCTGAACTTCTGAATTGTTTATTTTTAATTTCCCATTGGACTGTGAACATTTGTAGTCATTGCTCTACTTTGTATCTTCAATATTTACCAGTAGTATTATATGAAGAGCTGATGATCCATATGTATGAATTGTACTTATTTTTCTTTGACAGAAAATAAATATCGACAACCTGAGTGACACCAAAAGCATCTCAGACTGCAGGAGTTTGGCTCGTTCCCTGTCTACGAAAAGTGCAGCAGTCAATCATGAGAATTCCAATGTGGCCGTTTACGAGGTAACCAAAATCCTAAACTGGGTTGTCAGTACACCTATCAATCCCTGTGATATTTTTGTGGTGATGAGGGCTAAAGAGTGCTGCATTGTGTTCTATCGGAGTGCACACATTCAAATCCTTCTGAACAGTGAGTTACACAGAACACAGAGGACCACAGAAACATATTGGGCATGGCCAGCTGGACTGGTGCAGTGGTGGTGAGGAGAGGGGGGTTGCAGGCACAGTGATGGGTGGTGCCTCCTCTGAGGAGCTGTCAACTGTAGAGGTCGGTTGGGGGTGTGGGGTTTTGGTGTGAGCTGCCAAACCAAGGATTACAGCACCTGTGTGAGCTGCAGCGAAAGCTGGGAGCAGGAGGTGTTGTGAGCTGATGGGGTCAGAAGTTACAAGGCCGTGTTCCATTGTACAGGCTCAACTGCTGCAGGGTCTGCTTTGGATACATGTCAAATGATCTACTTGCAAATATGTTATTAGTGATGGGAGACTTCCTGTGCTAGGAACTGATTGCTGGTATTTGGGGCGGGATTGCTACAGGTTAGAGGAGATCAGCAGCACCATCATAAATGCTGGGTCCTGGTCCTGCTGTAGAACCCCATAGACCCAGGAGATAGTCTCCAAGCCTCATAGAGGTCTATAGGCTTCCAATGCGCACACGCAGGCAGCGGCAGGGAGAGGACAGGTTGGCCACAAGTAAACATTGTGGCTGAACTGCGGTGTGGGAAGGGGAGGGTGGGCTATGGAAGAACATTATGTATAAGGGCGGAAAATACCGAAAATGCTGTGTTAATGTTTTGGGGATTTTTTCATTGAATCAGGAAATATGAAAATTGCCTTATCAGAAATCTACCACTGAAGCTGTGTTAAAATGGACTTATCATTAAGATCATCTACTCCCTTGCACATCTGATCCCTTGATAGACGCAGACAGCAAAAATTATTTACCTAGGCTGGTCACTGTGCTGCTTCAAGATCCCATGGTGGGTCAGTCATGTGATATGGCCTTTGCTAATAGGAGAGGATATCATTCAGAGTGAACTTTTGTTGTTAAACGTTAAAATAAATAAAAAAAAACAGCATGGAATCTCCTCCCCAATTCATACCAGACCCCTTACCAGACCAAATACCAGACCAAAAAAAATGTGTGGGTTCCCCTTTAAAATCCCTTACCAGACCCTTGATCCGAGCAGCCTGGCAGAGCAGGCTGCTCGGATCATACCAGGTCACATGTCCTTAACATGGAGAAGGTACTTTGCCAGGGGGAGACTCCTGGAAGAACTCCTTGTCCCCATGTCGATGAAGACAAGGTCCGCTTCCCCACAACCCTGGCCCGGTGGTTGTGGGGGTCTGAGGGCAGGGGCACCCCGCTCGTGAATGAGTAAGGGGTAGTTCTTATGCCCAATCATTCACCAAATTAACAGTAAAAGCGTAAATAAACATACCACAATGTATCGAAAGTCCTTAGTTTTTATTTTTTTTAACCCCTAAAAAAACAAAAAGCAGCCAGCGATGTAATGCAAATGTCAATCACGTCATCCAGCGATGTAGATCCACGCCAATCACGATGGACGACGGCTGCTGACTCGCGGAAAGAAAAAATATCTGACGCCTGCCCACACGACTGATCCTGACGAACTCTCTCTGCAAAAATGACAGCTCTGACCCAAATGTCAACAAAAGGGCGGAGCGAGTCGTGACATCACGGGACTTGTTCCGCCCCTTTGTTGACATTCAGGAGCAGAGCTGTCACAATTACTTTGCTTTTGAGTTTTTACCCTTTAAGTTACAACATTACACACTTACTGGTTGTGTCTGTTAGCTACATTAAAGCAGAAAATGTAATCTGTGATGTGAAATGATTTTACAGGGAGACTGGGTGTGGCTGAAGAAGTTTGAGCATGGACCCTACCACGAGCTACGGCAGAGCACGACCAGCACACTGCGGAAAGTAAGAACTACACTTTGTAGACTATCTTGTCATCTTATATCATAGGATAATGATGTGTGCTTTCTATAGTCAAGAATTTAAAGCAGAACAACATTCAAAACGTTTTTTGTTTTTTTTTCCGGCAAAAGTGGAGAAGGGTTAGAACCTCTGTCTGTCCCCCCCCCCCCCCCCCCCACGTCCTGTTCCAGAGACACAACAGGAAATGATGGGGAATCTCCACAAAATGAGGGCAGTTGTCACCAGAATAGGTGTCCCTTTTGGAAGATTTCCCCTCTATTGCTGTTCCAGTGACAACTCTAAAAGTTAGATTTCTTTTTCACTTTCTGTTCCAATGGCAACAGTTGCAGGACAGAAAGTGAGTGTTTTTGCCTAACTGGCCCATTATACCACGTTTCTCTGGCGTCGAATAAATATGGAACGATAAAGTAGACCTCTGGTGTGCTGGCGACTAGCCCTCATATATCTCATTGCACACGGCACCATCCGCAGGTCACATCAGCACCCACTGAAATACGTTAACTGGGATTCCGGTGTGGTGTGCAATGGGACATTCTAAACATTGCCTAACAAAGATATAAGTAACAATAAAGCATGACAGAGGTTCCAGCCCTTCACCACTCCAAAAAAAACTTGACTCAGCCCAACCAAACCCAACCTAAGCCAAAAACTAGAAAAAGGGTTTTGCCTGGAGTTATTATTCTTTATTTCTGGTCTGCCATTTATAACAATATTCAGGGGTATAAAAAAGAAAAGGGAAAAATGAGTAGTACAAAAATACAGAGCAGAATAACAATGTAAGACATAGCACAGTGTGAACAATTATCTCCATGAGACATTTCATATGTATGCATAACCATTATGTCTCAGTTAAAGGAGAACTATGGGGTTAAGGCTTTTCCCCATAGTTCTCCTTAGGGTAAAGGGAGGACACAAACTAGCGTCCTCCCGTCACCCTAGGCTCAGCATGTTCCTTCGGCAAAAGTTGATCTATTGACTTCTGCCAAGGGAACAGGGCCACCAACGGAGTGAATTTTGGCCGATTCAGCAGGAACTTTACTCAATAGAAGACGAGGGGGAACACAGAGGAAAGAAGGGGAGATGAGAAAGTGATTGAAGGAAGAGGAGGGGGGATTCCGGGGAGTTATAACCCAATTTAGAGAATATAGAACCTTATTTTCTTTGCAATTTGGTCAAACTGTCCTGTTGTTCTATAGTAGGGGTGAAGGTTCTTCCCATGCTGGTCGAAAATGGGAACCTGTGATGAGCAGTCTATATAGAACAGAACTACTGCCATAAGATTCCAGGGAGTGGTGCAGGATCCCTCTGTAACAGACTGGCAGTGTATGCTTTTTCTCCTGCAGTCTGCCAGCAGCTTTCTCCCCTTACCTTCATGTCCAGTGTCATCCCTAGCATTTCTGATGCCTGAGGCCACGGGGAAGGAGGGGGGAGTGGTAGTGGTGTTTGAGTGACACCGCCCTTCCCACCCGGCTCAACATCCCACCATCTCCTGGCAACCAGTGAGGTTTGCGGTTGCCAGGAGCTGGGTGGGTCACCGGCCTGAGAGTCCCGGGTTGCAAAAAGGTGCTAAAAGCTCTTGCACATCTCCCTGTCCAGCTTGTAGCAACCTGGGACGCTCTGACCAGAATGGGGGGCAAGCACAATGCAAATATTGTGCAGCAGTGTGGCCATGCCGCCCTGCCTACTGCCCCCCCCCCACATGACCCAAAGAGATGCCACCTAAGGCAACAGCCTTAGGCTGCCTCAATAAATGGATGGTCCTGTTCATGTCTTCTAATGGGTTTTACAGGCTTGTGTTTAGGTGCTCACCTGTGCTTTCTGTTAGCAGATAGTCAGCACTAGCACTGGCTTCACTACCATATATTTGGCATTGGGTTTAATTCATGCTCAGTGATAGATGCAATTATCCAAACTACGTTTTTTGAGTTTTCGCGTGCCTTTAACCAGCTGTTTCTGCACTGTTTCCAGATGAAGGATCTGAGAAATGAAAACGTTAACCCCTTTCTGGCCTTTTTCTCTGATTGCGGAATCTTTGCCATCATAACGGAGCATTGTTCCAGAGGGAGTCTGGAGGATCTGCTGAGAAAAGACGACGTCAAATTAGACTGGATGTTTAAATCTTCACTGCTTTTAGATTTGATCAAGGTAATTACTGCAGGGAATCCACTTCTTGTTGCTGTGTCTTAGCTTGCACTGAAAAGCCAGCCCAAGTCCCAAAACCAAGCCCAGTTTTTCGAGGGACAATACGTGTATGCTCCTGACATAGTGACCCCCTGCCTTCTAGAAGTCCACTGGAATGAATGTGTGTATGAGTCATATACACTATCTTACCAAAATTATTGGGACACTCCTTCAAATCATTGGATTCAGGTTTTTCCAATCGCCTCCATGGCCACAGGTGTATAAAATCACGCACCTCGGCATGCAGACACTTCTACAAACATTTGTGAAAGAATGGGTCTCAGGAGCTCAGTGAATCCAAGCGTGGTACCGCGATAGGTTTGCCACCTGTGCAATAAGTCCATCCGTGAAATGTCCTTGCTACTAAATATTCCACGGTCACCTGTTAGTGGTATTATAACAAAGTGGAAGCAACTGAGAACAACAGCAACTCAGCCACAAAGTGGCAGGCCACGTAACATGACAGAGCGGGGTCAGCGCATGCTGAAGCGCACAGTGCACATAAGTCGACAACTGTCTGCAGAGCCAATAGCTACAGACCTCCAAACTTCGTGTGGCCTTCAGATTGGCCCAACAACAGTGCGTAGAGAGCTTCATGGAATGGGTTTCCATGGCCGAGCAGCTGCATCCAAGCCTTACATCACCAAGTGCAATGCAAAGCGTGGGATGCAGTGGTGTAAAGCACGCCGCCACTGCACTCTAGAGAAGCGGAGACATGTTCTCTGGAGTGACTAATCACGCTTCTCTATCTGGCAATCCAATAGACGTGTCTGGGTTTGGCAGTTGCCGGGGGAGTGGTACTTGCCTGACTGCATTGTGCCAAGTGTAAAGTTTGGTGGACGGGGGATCATGGTGCGGGGGTGTTTTTCAGGGGTTGGGCTCGGCCCCTTAGTTCCAGTGTAAGCATTAGCATACCAAGACATTTTGGACAATTTCATGCTCCCATCTTTGTGGGAACAGTTTGGGGATGGCCCCTTCCTGTTCCAACATAACTGCGCACCAGTGCACAAAGCAAAGTCCTGACCTCAACCCGATAGAACACCTTTGGGATGAATTAGAGTGGAGACTGCGAGCCCGGCCTTCTCCTCCAACATAGTACCTGACCTCACAAATGGTCCAACATTCCCATAGACACACTCCTAAACCTTGTGGACGCCTTCCCAGAAGAGTTAAAGCTGTTATAGCGGCAAAGGGTGGGCCAACTCAATATTGAACCCTACGGACTAAGACTGGGATGCCATTAAAGTTCATGTGCGTTTAAACGCCGGCGTCCCAATACTTTTGGCAATATAGTGCATCTCTGAATATGTAAATGCTTACATAAGAGCTTGTGTTGCAGATCCTAAAACAACATGTCCTTCAGGGCTCCTGCCTTTCCCAATATGGCAGGCTCTTTGACTTAAAGGATATCTAAACCCAAGGACAAAATGTAATATTTGGCAGCTTACCAGTCCTTAGATGTGGTGGCTGCATTAGTTTACATTTTTCAGGCTAAGGATATTTTTGGCAAGTACATAACATACCTGTAGATCTTGCCAAAAATGCAGGTTCCTTGTCACTTCCGGTGAAATGAACTGAATGTTATCTTCTTTCTGTCAACTACTATGTAATGAAGATGGAGAAAGGAGGACAGGTTTGAAGTCCAGCCTGGGTGGTGACCATCGATCCCTCCATAGTTACAGTGGAGTGAGTGAGCTTAGCCTCCCTAGCACAGGAAGTGAGTTACTAGAAGGTTTAGCAGGTTAAAATAAAGGAAAAAAGCCTGAAAACACGATGCAGCCACCACATCTAAGGAATGGCACCTTGCAATATATTACTTTTTTCTTCTTGGGTTTGGATATACTTTAAAGTAAACTTGTGGCCAAGATGGACAACAAACAGAGAATATGTTCAGGGCCAGTACTAGACTATTTTGCGCCCTAGGCAAGACCAGCTACTTGCACCCCCCTGTCCCCCTCCCGCGGCACAACCCCAATCCCTACTCCTGCGTGCCTCCATTCTCCTGGGGGCTAGCTTCTGCAGGTGACAGGTGGGTGTAAGCAGCCGGGAGCAATAGCCAGACTGCTATTGGCTATTCTAATTTGAAATAGCCAATAGCAGACTGGCTTTTGAACCCCCACCCACTGAGCAGAGGAGCGGATCTGAGAGAAAAAGTTGTCTCTCAGTTCCGCTCCTCTGCTCATTGGGTGGGTGAAATAGCCAGCCTGCCATTGGCTTTTGCAATATGAAATAGACAGGAGGGACACCATGGGAGGGTGAGTGGTTGAGACTGCACCCTAGGCAGCAGTGCACCCTAGGCAGCTGCCTAGTTTGCCTAGTGGCAGCACCGGCCCTGAATATGATGTTGCTTTTCAGTTACATATTTGGAGGTCAAGAGAGTGCAGTGTCTGGCTCCCTATTGGGACAGCCTTTGGCAAGGGTCACCTTGGAAGCCATTTAAGGCTTACATCTAGTCCACAAGGGCTCATGGGGTGCCATAAAAGTGGCTTAGCTGGCTGTTTCAAGTTATTTCCAGCCCCACCAAAGATCTGGTGTATAGGAAACATGTGGGACTGTGGAGAACTCTGAGGTCCATGATCTTTTGGGACCTTCATGTGAAGCTGTTGGAAGGTTTTAGTCATGCATACTATTTATTTTCTTTATTCTAATGTTGGCACAGGGTATGAGATATTTACACCATCGTGACTTTCTACATGGACGCCTAAAATCTCGCAATTGTGTGGTGGATGGCAGATTTGTCTTGAAGATCACTGATTATGGATATAATGAAATTATAGAGAACCAGAAAGCTCCACGGCAGCCTTCTTGTCCTGGAGGTGAGAAACAAATTCTTCATGAAAAAGTATAAGGAAAGATTTCTGTACATGTTTAACACTTAGGCCTCATTCACACGAGAAACGACCGGCCCGTACAGCTCCGTACTGTGTGCACAGCCGTATCGGTCAGCTTCCGGGAAGGACAGGTGCTGCGTGTGATTAGTGCGCAGCCCCTGTCCTTCTCTATGGGACTACGAGGCCGTACGCCACCCTATGCTCACCCCAAGTGCAGGTCCGTACGGATGCGGGTGTCCCAGCTTGGACGCAGACAGGATCCATCCGGGCACGGGCACCCGCACAGACGTGCAGGGCGGGTGAGCGTAGGGCAGCGTACGGCTGTGTATTCCCATAGAGAAGGACAGGGGTTGTGTACTAATCACACGCAGCACCTGTCCTTCCCGGGAGCTGCCCGGTACGACCGTGCACGCAGCACGGAGCTGTACGTGCTGGCTGTTTCTCGTGTGAATGAGGCCTTAGAGTGTAAGTTCCTACACTCTATACCAGTGGTCCCCAAATTGTGACCCAAATGGTCACAATTTGCTAGCCTTTAACCAGCCCTTGAGGCACTGTCTCTCCAACTGGCACCAATGATGGGGCACTGTTCCTCTCATTGACACCAACAACAGGGCACCATTCTTCCCATTGACTAAGGCATTCACTGCGTCTAAGGATTGGTAAGCTGCAATATATTATAATTATGTTCTTGGGCTTTGATACACTTTAGACAAAATGTTTTGGCTCTTCTTTCTCTCCTGGCTTTTTCAAGACACACATGTTTACTCACATATTTCCCCTGTGGCACAAGCTGCTGGCGAAATCATGCATAGCACTGAGACCTGAAACACATTAATTCCCTACAATTCTAATGACCTTTAGCTGGAGAGAAGTGGGGGAGATGTTCTACTCAGAATAGTTCCATTCAAATTAGGGCTTTCATTTTTCTTGGACATATACTTGAATTACTGCCTTAATTATGTCGCATCCTAAATGACACGGCTGTATTCTTTCATACAGAATTATTTTGGACAGCACCAGAGCTTCTTCGAGATCAAAATCTGGCCAGAAGAGGAACATTTAAAGGAGACGTCTTCAGTTTTGCTATTATTTTGCAAGAAGTGGTTGTACGAGGTCCACCATATTGCATGTCAGGACTTTCAGCAGAGGGTAAGCGTTTCATTCTTTTGTCAAGAGAATGGGCAGGGAGTTGTAACATTGTGCCCATTAGGCCAAGCTATCTTTATCCAAGGATATATGAGGATCTTTGTACAGTTAGGCCTGGAGCTGTTGGCAGATTGTACATTTCCTGCCATGAGATGGCGGGGCTACTGGTGTTGTTCCACCTACCTGTTGAGGTTCCAAAATGTGTAAATTTTGGGAACTGCATCTCACTATTTTCCCTGCTATTAATGTTTTATAATTAATTAGATATACATTAAAGCTTTTTGTTATTAAAATGTAAATACATTAATTTCACTTGTCAGCTTTAGCTTTTCGGCAATCTGCGGTGCATGTTCTGTATACTGTATACATTTTTACATAGTTACATAGTATTTGAGGTTGAAAAAAGACACGAGTCCATCAAGTCCAACTTATAGATCAAGGCCAACCTATAGGTCAAGCCCAACCTATAGATTACCAAGAAGCTGGTAAGATGACTGTAGCCACGCTATATGTCTAAGGAAGTGACCTGGAGTCACAACATGCATTCTTGGTGTTTTAATCGATAGATAATTTTCATAACAAGACCCTACTGCCATTGGACCACTTTCATTAATATACAACACAATAGTCCTGAACCAGAACTGCTGTATATGGGTGCCACTGCCACACAACAAACCAATGGGTATTTTTTACACCTATCCCACTTGCTAAACCATTCCCAAATCCCTTTGTTGGACATATTGAGTGGGATCCTATAACATCAAGAGTAACTGCCACACCATCTTCATTGAAACAGGAATCCACACCTTGCAACTTAATCCATTGATGTTATATATTTGCAATCCAATCAACTGGTTGTTCTTTATAATACTACACCATTCGGGCTTTGCCACTGTATCTCCTTCCCTCTCTTTTTTCTGCACATATGTTCTTTCTGAGGGTTGTCTTCATGGCACCAGGAACACTACTGACCACGCATAGATTAAATGGTCCATAGTACCAATGGCAGCATTGGACATACTATTCATTATGAAGGTGTTTAAGGAAACGATAGAGCTGAAGTGCAGGTACTTTGTGATGTCTGTTACGCTTCTAATCAATCCCTCTGTCCCCATGGAGCCTTTTTCAGATCCTAGTCCCAAGCTGAGCTTAAGCCCCAGCCCCTGCCAGCACAAAAATCCAGTTCTACCATTCATCCGTCAAATGTGGGAGCTTCTACTGCCCACTGTGGCTCTGGCTATGACAGGTGAATAACAAAAGTTGGGGCTTAGTGCCAGGAAGAAACACAGCTTAATCCTAACGTGGACAGGCCTGGTTATAGAATCCAAGGGGCACCAGAAGGGACCTAGAGTAGGGTTGCCACCTGTCCAGGATTCACCCGAACAGTTTGGGTTTTGAATGCTGTGTCCAGGTTTCATGGCAGCAGAAACCTGGACACAAGATGTCAGGCAGACAGAGGCAACCAAAATGAAGATAGGGGCTACTGCTCCCCCCACTGAAAATAGTCTCAACTGTGATATTTACATATGAATGGGCGGCAATGTTTACATATGAATAAGCCGCGACTCCTTCTCCCAAAAAAATGTTCACGCGTCGATTGAGTGTTCGGGTTTCGCTTGAAGAAAAGGTGGCAACCCTAACCTAGAGACTGTCAAGGTAGTATGGTATTACATTTGTGGTTTTTTTTTCTGTTCCAGAAATCATCAGAAAGGTAAAAAAGCCACCTCCATTATGTCGACCCACAGTGGCCCCTGATCAGGCCCCGCTGGAGTGCATTCAGCTCATGAAGCAGTGCTGGAGTGAACTAGCTGAAAGGAGGCCGACCTTCGATGAGATCTTTGATCAGGTTGGTGATTCAAACAAAGGATATGTAGTATCTTCCATTTCACATACATTGTAAAGATGATTAAAGTTGCCCCTTGTGCACTAAATTAATTAATTACATACAAACAAATCAGAGTGATACATTTAAGGCACAATTCCCAATCACCAAGGATTGGACATAGGGTTGCCACCTGTCCCGGATTTACCTGGACAGTCTGGGTTTTGAGTCCTGCATGTGCTGTGTCTGGGTTTCAGCTGGCCTTTCAGTGAAATCAGTGAGCTTGGTGGGACACCAGACAGAACGTCAAAGGTTGTTTGTAGCTCTTAGCAACCTGGGACATTCTGGCCGGAAAGGGGGGCGTCAGGCATTAGTTAAAATCCCATATCCATTAACTGGACAGGATACAACATCTGACAGCCAACTTCTGCTTTACTTACAGTTCAAAACCATCAACAAGGGCAAGAAAACCAATATTATTGACTCCATGCTGAGGATGCTGGAACAATACTCCAGTAACCTGGAAGATTTAATCAGAGAAAGAACAGAGGAACTGGAGGTGGAAAAACAAAAAACAGAAAAGCTTCTCTCCCAAATGCTGCCGCGGTGAGTATCACCCGTGCACAATGGTTATTGCCGGCCGTCAAAATCTGGTCTAATGAACATGGTAAGGCGAGGAACAAGGTGCGGGAAACCAGACCAACCAATCCCAATTCATTTCAATTGTCACACAGCAGTCCTCAGTAACCTAAAATTCCATTGGCTGCTGTAGGTTGCTGCTCATTGTGCAGCTTACTGGAAGATGTTGTAACTCATTTAGCACATTGATGGGCATTTGTGGATGGATTGGTGGACAAAAGTACATTTTGGGGGCCTTGACAATTCTACTGCTTACAGCTAAACTTCAGACAGATAAACAAAAAGTTCATCAAGTATTTATTCATGTATAAATCATTAAAGTGCATCTATACCCACCTATCAGTCTGTGATTGGACAGTGAAGGAAATGCAGCAGACTGATGAGTTCATCTCTGTCACTCTGCTCTCACCTCCTTGCAGCATGCTAGTCTGAGCTCTGCTGTACAGTGATTGCAGGAGGCTGATACCAAGTCAAGTACAGCTTTCTAAAATACCCTTGTAGTGTATTAAACACTTTATACTCTGGGCAGAAAGGGGGGTGAGGGGCAGGCTCTCTGATCCAAACAGATGCCACTTGATGCAACAGCCTCCATGGAACTTGAAACACATGCCCCGGCGTGACGTGCAGGCCCCGGGCTGTATACATGTAGCTGGCCACGGCTGACAGGACATCCTGGAAATCCTACATCCACTGCGTGCAGGACTGTTCTAGGAAGGTATTAGGTAACCAGCTTGGCCTGTGATTGTAAAGGGACTACTAGTCCCAGCATTGCTGTGTGGTCAGGCAGGGTCTGCAGGTTCCAGTAAACTTGTGGTCTCCAGAGGAACACATGTCCCAGCATGCCTGTGAGGTCACCAGGAGACCAACTTGCACGTGTTGTCCCAGGTGACCTCACAGGCATACTGCGAGTAGAAGTCCCCAGGTGACCTCACAGGCATGCTAGGACTAGAAGTCTCCTGGGGAGCTCACAGGCATGCTAGGACTAGATGTCCCCTGGGGAGCTCACTGGCATGCTGGGACTAGAAGTCCCCTGGGAGCTCACTGGCATGCTGGGACTAGACGTCCCCTGGGGAGCTCACTGGCATGCTGGGACTAGAAGGCCCCTGGTGACCTTACAAACATGCTGGGATTTGTGTTCCTCTGGAGACCACAGGTATACTGGGACCTGCAGTCTTTGACTGACCACACAGGCATGCTTGGACTTGTGTGCCTGGTGACCTCACTAGGGTTGCCACCTTTTCTTTCAGCGAAACCCGAACACTCTACCGACGCATGGAAACTTTTTTGTGGGAGAATGATTCATGCACAAACACCATAACATAAGAAGGGTATTCTTCAAGTTAATTTGGGGATTGTACGTTTTTACGAGCAGGGCCCTCCTAACTAGGGTTGCCACCTTTTCTTCAAGCGAAACCCAAACACTCTAGCGTCGCCCATTCATATGTAAATATCACAGTTGAGACTATTTTCAGTGGGGGGCCAGTAGCCCCTATCTTCATTTTGGTTGCCCCTGTCTGCCTGACATCATGTGTCCGGGTTTCAGCTGCCATGAAACCCGGACACAGCATTCAAAACCCAGACTGTCCGGGTGAATCCCAGACAGGTGGCAACTCTAGACCTCACAGGCATGCTGGGAGACCACAAGTATACTGGGACCTGCAGACCTCAACTCGCCTCGACTAAATATCGGCACCTGATATCGGCTATCAAGGCGGCCGATAACCGGTATTGGTATCGGCTCTGGAAAAATGATATCGGTCTATCCCTAGTATCGACACACTTAAAGTGTATTTTTTAAAACAACTAGTTTAAGTTTCTGAATTTGATTTGATATCAGCCTCATGGAGTCCCTGTACAGCAGAGCTTACAGTGTGACAGGGAGAAGCAGCACATGGAAACAATAGGTGCTGCAATGCTCATGTGCTACCAAAGAACATGCTGCCAGGAGGAGAGTGCAGAGTGGCAGAGAGATGAGCTCATTAGTCTGCTGCTTCTCATTTCACTGTCCAATCACAGACTGGTGGCAAGAACAAAATTAATTATATTACTTAAAGGAGAACTATGGGGTCAAGGCTTTTCCGCATAGTTCTCCTACGGGCAACGGGAGGACACAAACTAGCGTCCTCCCGTCACCCTAAGCTCAGTATACCGCTGTAGCTCGCGGTATACTGAGACGCCGCAGCCGGGACGGATCCCAACATTACTGTTGAGATCCACCCAGCTGTGGGAGTGACAGCTGGCTCTGCCTATCTAAAGGCAGAGCCAGCTGTGCCCGCCCCTCCCCCGTTCGTTCCTTCAGTGAGCACTGGAGGATCTGAGCAGGGAGGGGGGGAATCCCTGCAGGGAGCCGTGAGTGACAGTCACAGCTCTCTGCAGGGATAGATTGAGAAGTGAGCGAGCGCCGGTATGTGTTCTCTCACTTCCCGATCTATTGAGCCGACCTGTGACAGTCTCATTGTCACACGTCGGCTCGAACTATGAGGTGAGTGAAAATCACTCGCCTCATAATTCTCCTTTAACTGAAGCAGAGAACAGTCAGGCCTCCAGGCTGGTTCTGGTGTCTGGCAGAGCTGTGTAAATCTCAGGACAGAAATACAAACCCTTTGGCAGGTAAGGCAGCACTCGCCTATGTATCTCATATATTGGCCCGGTGCTCAATGCTTCTAAATAATCACTTATGTTTTTTTTTTTAGGTCTGTCGCGGAAGCTCTTAAAACGGGAGGCACAGTGGAGCCAGAATACTTTGATCAAGTTACCCTCTACTTCAGCGATATTGTTGGATTTACGACGATATCGGCGCTCAGCGAGCCCATCGAAGTGGTCGACCTTCTGAACGACCTTTATAGTTTGTTTGACGCAGTTCTGGGAAATCACGACGTTTACAAAGTAAGGGCTTCCATGTCACATCCAGACGGGTTTATGTACATTCCATTCCATGATACGGTCAGGGCCGCCGTCAGGGGGGTACGACCAGTACCATTGTAAGGGGTCCCGGCGGGCCGGGGGGGCCCGAGCTCCAAGCCTTTAATTTTGAAACACTTTTTTTTTACACTGACGCTATTGCTATCACATAGGGGCTAACAAGCACCCTATGTAATAGCAGATAGGGTGTGACAGGTCCTCTTCATGGAGACATCAGGGGTCTTTCAGACCCCTAATGTCACCTAGGGACAAATATTGAATGCACGGATGACTTGGAATACACATTGCAACTTCATATATTAAGTTGTAACAGTGTTAAAATAAAAGGGCATTGAATGACGTGGAGGGACGGCCGGTGGGCGGACTCGATTGTACAGCCTAAAGTTGTGTAAGGGGCCCCAAAATTTCTGATGGCTGCCCTGGATACGGTTATGGTTACTCTTCTGCAAACACAGGACCTGGGAGACAGTATGTGAGGCCAGGCAGTTGAGGGGGCACCAGCTGTCAGACCACAGGGGGCGGCTCCATGGAAGAACTTGTATCTGCATACAAAACTGAGGGAAGGGGTAGATCCGCTGTCAGGTGTTGGGATAAAGGAAATTCAATGGAAGCCAAACAGACAAAACAAATGTATCAATTCTTCAATCTATCCAACCTTAAAAACATAGCTTTGGCTATACACTATAAAGCTGACCTCCGGACTTCCCTTCAGTCTTATATCTGACCCCCAGCCTTCCCTTCAGTCTTATATCTGACCTCTGGCCTTCCCTTTCGTCTTATATCTGACCTCTGGCCTTCCCTTTCGTCTTATATCTGACCTCTGGCCTTCCCTTTCGTCTTATATCTGACCTCTGGCCTTCCCTTTCGTCTTATATCTGACCTCTGGCCTTCCCTTTCGTCTTATATCTGACCTCTGGCCTTCCCTTTCGTCTTATATCTGACCTCTGGCCTTCCCTTTCGTCTTATATCTGACCTCTGGCCTTCCCTTTCGTCTTATATCTGACCTCTGGCCTTCCCTTTCGTCTTATATCTGACCTCTGGCCTTCCCTTTCGTCTTATATCTGACCTCTGGCCTTCCCTTTCGTCTTATATCTGACCTCTGGCCTTCCCTTTCGTCTTATATCTGACCTCTGGCCTTCCCTTTCGTCTTATATCTGACCTCTGGCCTTCCCTTTCGTCTTATATCTGACCTCTGGCCTTCCCTTTCGTCTTATATCTGACCTCTGGCCTTCCCTTTCGTCTTATATCTGACCTCTGGCCTTCCCTTTCGTCTTATATCTGACCTCTGGCCTTCCCTTTCGTCTTATATCTGACCTCCGGCCTTCCCTTCAGTCTTATATCTGACCTCTGGCCTTCCCTTTCGTCTTATATCTGACCTCCGGCCTTCCCTTCCGTCTTATATCTGACCTCCGGACTTTCCTTCAGTCTTATATCTGACCTCCGGACTTCCCTACAGTCTTATAGCTGACCTCCGGACTTCACTACAGTCTTATAGCTGACCTCCGGACTTCCCTACAGTCTTATATCTGACCTCCGGACTTCACTACAGTCTTATAGCTGACCTCCAGCCTTCCCTTCAGTCTTGCACAGCTGTACCGGCTCCTCTCCTGGACTGAAATGGCTCCCTCTGATGTCACTAATTTCTTGGCTGGAGGATGTCCGGCATCAGCTAGTTCTTTCCTCCACAGCCTGACTGTCTCTGGCCCACCCCTTTCGGTTATTGGATTTCAGTTCTGTCACTCGTGGAGGCTCAGCATCACATGTGGGCGTTACATAGGGTGGCCTGCATGCAAATTAAGGAACGCCCATTCCTCCAGACTTACACCCCCCCATCAAGGCATTTTTATATTTGCATAACTCCTCCCAAGATCTGACAACTGCTTGTATCAGTACTGAGGCAGGGTGCTGGGATGTTTTCAGGAAGCTATGTACAACACCCTGACGGCCCCTCCCACCAGCCATGATCTGACTGCATTGGATAGATAATCAGAAAGACCCAGTGATGATGTCACCGAGTCTAAACAAGATACAGTATGTAATGAAAATGGAAATATTGATAAAGGAGGGAAGGGAAAGCAAAACTCTCATATCACTACGGGGCAGTTAAACATCAGTACGGGGCAGTTAAACATCAGTACGGGGCAGTTAAACATCAGTACGGGGCAGTTAAACATCAGTACGGGGCAGTTGCAGACACATGCAAGTTGCTTCTATATATTTATTCCTCTAATTTTATTTCATTGTAATGACTTCAAGTCTCTTCACAGGTGGAAACAATCGGCGATGCTTATATGGTGGCATCGGGTCTACCCAAGAGAAACGGGAACAAGCACGCGGCGGAGATCGCCAACATGTCACTAGATATCCTCAGTTCTGTGGGCACCTTCCAGATGAGGCACATGCCTGACGTACCGGTCAGGATTAGGATAGGTCTACACTCAGGTATTCCGAACCCCATTCTGTTCTTTGGTCACATGATATTCCTTTGATGGTACGTTAATTTGCACGCATTGTCTGCCATCCTATGGAAACTACTTAGTCCTGAAGCAGTGGGCGTTGTTAGCAAAACGCGTCGGCGTCACTCTGCTCACATTCTCGAATTGTTTAAACATGATATAAGATGCGTTAGCTGGTGTGTTCAGTGTTTATATAAAGTTGGTTGATGTGCAGACAACTATTTCAGTCACTGAAGTGGATGGCTGGCCTTATGACTTTTATGACATGATATGTATGGTCTCATCTATCCAATTATCAAATATATAGATTTCATATAGCTCTTTTTTTTTGCCCTGTGGACTGCCGGCCTGCAGCAGCTAGTAGAGGTATAGTGTCAGGTTCTGTTGGGTTAGCTTATCCACAGCTGTGGTGACATTGGGGTCCTGAAAAAATAGAGGAGCTACAGAATGCTCTTCTTTCGTATATTAGTAGATTGACAGCAGAAAAAGACCAAGTGGTACAACAAGTCTGCCCCTTTTTTAAGTAAGATTCTACTGTATATTTGACCCAAGCATGCTTAAATTCACTTAGGGATCTATTTATAACCAATTTGCATAGCCACTCGCCCTGCGGATCTGAACATTCGATCTGTGTCAACAGAGACAAAAACGGACGTTCTTAGTATATTGTCTTTTCAGTTTGAATGTATTTTAATTAATAGCACATTATGGCCACTAGGTGGAGCTTAGGAGCATGTGAAAATAAATACTTATAATGGTCACTTGGTGGAGCTTAGGGGCATAGGAAATAAATACTTATAATGGCCACCAGGTGGAGCTGAGGAGCATAGGAAATAAATACTTATAATGACCACTAGGTGGAGCTTAGGAGCATAGCAAATAAATACTTATAATGGCCACCAGGTGGAGCTGAGGAGCATAGGAAATAAATCCTTATAATGGCCACTAGGTAGAGCTTCTTCCCAGCTGCTGCTCGGCTCCGCGCTGTCTGCATATGGTGGGCAGTAGCCCGTTATTTGCTGAGTCTTGGGTCACAGGAGGACATTAGTAAATGTCCTCCTGTGACCTAAAAGAGAACTAATGCCAAAAAATGGTTTGGCCATAGTTTTCTTTTCACTTGCAAAATTTCTGAAAGATCCTAGTGTTGGGTTTTCACATACTTTAATATTCTTTCAATATGCAACATAATGACGGTGTCTCACCATCCTTGTGTCTCCATGTACTCGGAGACAGCCGTGTTTGCTCCTTACTGATGCAGGTCTATGGTTGCACACTGATAATAGCAATTAATTTATATATTTAAATGTCAAATTATTTTTTTTTTTATCTTAAAGGGCCATGTGTAGCTGGAGTTGTGGGCCTTACTATGCCTCGTTACTGTCTGTTTGGAGACACAGTGAATACGGCTTCACGAATGGAATCCACAGGACTGCGTAAGTCGTAATTATTACCCCACAGAATTGTATACAGGCAGTCCCCAGGTTAAGAACAAGATAGGGACTGTAGGTTTGTTCTTAAGTTGAATGTGTATGTAAGTTTGAACAGGTACATGTTTTAAGTGTAACTCAAGACCCGCACATAGAAAGAGATACAGTGGCGACTGTCACCGACATTGCTTGGTTGATCTCCAGTGCTGTTTTCCACAAAAGTCATTCATCCGCATTCAGTGCTGGCATTGGGATCACAACATTTTGGTTGTACGTAAAATGTCAGGGTAATGATTCGGGTGAGGTCCCTTCACACCAGTGGGTGCGCATTGGAGTTTATTGTGCATGTGCACTGTAATGCATTGTAATAAGTGTTTTTATTTTTTTAAACTTTATTCTTAAATGATTAAAAACATCTCTTTATTTAATGCTAAGTTCAACATTGCAATGTGCTGATGTGCATTGTTGTGCATTACGTTGCATAAAAATGCAGATCTGTTACATTGTCATGGAACCAACACACTTGTATGGTGCGAACAGAGCACATAGAAAACTATTGTTTATGGATGCACCGAAATTTCGGCCGCCGAAACGTATCGGCAGAAAATGGCACTTTTGGCAAAATGCTTGTTGGGAACCATGCCAGTGGTTCAAAAAGCCCTCTTATCTGTATACATTCTAATGGCCACAATACTGTACACTGAGTGGCCATATTATTATGGCCACTCCATCAGTACTTCGTTGGGCCACGAGATGACTTCGTTGGGCCGCCTTGTGACTCCACGAGATGTTGAGAGGTGATGCGAGGAATCTGACACGGCACTGTTGCCCTTCTGTTGTCTTGTACCAGTCTTGCCCCTCCCCCTGTTCTGCCCTAACATTGACTAGTCGCTGACGGCCACAATTCGCACGTTCAGACCCAGGTTTTCGGCTGACAGTCCGGTCTTTAAACACTTTAACAACAGCTGCTCTTGAACATTTAACGAATTCTGCTGTTTTGCTGATACTCGCTCCATGGCTCCGAGCGCCAATAATCATCCCACGTTCAAAGGCTGTTAAATCGCGGTTTCCCTGTATCTTCAGAAATAATCACTTCTACTGTCGTGGTAAACAACCTGCTTCCCTATTTATAATGGTCTGGCCCTCTAGCAACTTCAGCGCCAAATTATAGCTAATTTGCCTACAAACGTCAGGTGGTCATAATAATCTGGCCACTAAGTATATATACTCCAGTATGTAATATATGTGAGTATATTTTGTGACATGTTCTTTTATATCCTTTCACAGCTTACAGAATTCACGTCAACCAAAGCACAGTGGCCACGCTTCGCACTCTACCCGAAAACTATAAAATAGAACTTAGAGGAAAAACAGAATTAAAGGTAACTGCAACCAAGGCCTTCAAATGATATAATATTTAGGTCACTTCTCTGCCTTCAACTCCACTTCATAGCTAAGGTTGCCAGCATTAAAAACATCCCGCCTTTCTTTTCTTTTACTTCTATTGATAACATTGGACATATAGTAGGTTTGAGGGTCAGGTATTGGTCATATAATGTATTACGGGTTGTAAGCAAAAACAATGAACACTGTTTGAGGGCTACAACAGACTTATCATACAAGGGGCGCCTACCCTAGTGTGGATCAATTTTATTGAGAACCAGCAAAGATTATTATTATTATTACATAGTATTTATATAGCGCCAACAGTTTGCGCAGCGCTTTACAATGTAAGGAAGACATTACAGTTACAATACAATTCAAGACAAGATGGTAAGGAGGGCCCTGTCCCTGAGCGCTTACAATCTAAAAGAGGAGGGGTAAGTGATACATGAGGAGGTAGCTGTGTGGAGATGAATTGTTTGAGAACGTGATGGTTCAGTGGTTAGGTTGAGGTGGGAAATCATTTTCTGATGAAGGGGGCGTGACCCCGGAAACGCGTCTTGTAGGCATTGAGCTGTCTTGGCAGTGCAGCTCTCATCCATCATAGCCTGGCTATTAATCCTTGGACTTTGAAAACTTCTTTATGATCTACTCTTATGAGTACAATTTTATCTTTGCTGGTTCTCAATAAAATTGATCCACACTAGGGTAGGCGCCCCTTGTCTTTTTTTTTTCTTCCCAGATACCACAGTCTCCCTGGCTGGATTCCCCCCTCCGCTCCTCCAGCGCTGACTGGCGGAACGGATGGGGGAGGGGCGGGTTCAGCTGGCTCTGCCTCTAGATAGGCAGAGCCAGCTGTCACTCACGCAGCTGGGCGGATCCAGACATAATTGTCGGGATCCGTTTCATCTGCGGCGTCTCAGTATACCGGGAGCTGTAGCTTGCGGTATACTGAGCCTAGGGTGACGGGAGGGCGCTAGTTTGTGTCCTCACGTTAACCTAAGGAGAACTATGGGGAAAAGCCCTAACCCCATAGTTCTCCTTTAATATTCCCTACTCCATAATATCTGTAGAATTCACTGAATCCCCTATAATGGAAGTAACTGGGTGAGGATATATTATAGTTGAAAATATAATATCGTATACATTTAATTAATTTTTATAAGGCAGCTGGGAATGGTTAAACAAAAAATGTATATATTATAGCGTTCTTGTACCTATATGTATTAATGTTGTCATCTATCTGTGGGAGCATCCACTGTTTAGAGATTATCGTTCCCCTAGAGATACGTTTATCACATGATTTATCTTGTAGAATCCATAATAGAAGTCACCAGCACTCGATGATGTGTGCAAGAAGTAAAGCACTTTTTATTAAATCGTCACATGCGTCATACAGCCAACGTATCGGGGCCATGCAGTGTCCTTTCTTCTGGGCGACATAGTGACGTCACTATGTCGCCCAGAAGGGACCCTGCGTGGCTCCGAATCGTTGGCTGTTTGACGCATGTGACGATTTAATAAAAAGTGCTTTACTTCTTGCACACATCATCGAGTGCTGGTGACTTCTATTATGGATTGCATCTGACACGGCGCCATTCGTGTTGTCACGTCAAGCACCAACCTCTCATCCAAGGTCTGTACGCTGTATGGAGTGCAGGGGATTTCATATTATCTTGTAGAATGTTACAAGATCCAGTCATTGTAGCAAAATTCTACACTTTTTTTTTAGTAAATTAAAACTACTTTGAACTATTTGGAACAAATTTACTCCAATGGAAAGTGGAGAATGTTGCTACAAATTGCATAATCAATATATTTGGTCCTTTGAGATATCACTCAAAGGGCGTAGGAGCTTCTTTTCAGTTAGAGCGGGTACATTTTGAAACTCTCTTCCACAAGCAGGGGTATCAGCAGAGAGTATTGGATCATTCAGAAATCATTTTGATACCTTCCTCAGAGACCATAACATACATGGATACATGTACTATTAAATACTAGACCACACAGGGACTCATATACACACCCACAAACATATACAAACACACACACACAATAGGTTGAACTTGTTGGACCTGTGTCTTTATTCAACCTCAAATAATATGTAACTCATATGTTTGGGGGGGTCCTAGAATGGTGGGTGTTTTTTTAGATCTGGGTACATTTTAAACAAGGTTGTAATAAAGTGACAAAGGGTTTAGATTTTTAATGTGGTCATCATTTATATACTTAGTATTTCTTTAGGTGTATAATAGTATTGTAAGTCTGTTGTAGTCAGGGCCGTCCCTATAATGGCGGCATCTCATCGGGTCTCAAGAGCTTTTAGCAACCTGTGACTCTGTGGCTGGCATCCCACCCAGCTCCAGAGATGTCACTGGTTGCCAGCAGCTGAGCGGGATGCTCTGGATTGTGTCCTGTCCAGCGCCTGGTGACCAGCGATGTCAGTGAGCTGGACGGGACACCGGTGAGAACCAGAGTCAGAGCCAGCACCACCCCATTCCCCCTGCTAATGTGCACCACCAACACACCCCTTCACTACACCGCCGCCCAAAAATGCTCCATCAGCACCCCTGAAACTCTTTTTCCTCCTGCCTCAGGCGGCAAAAAGTCTAGGGACACCCCTGGTTGTAGTCCTCAAACATTGCTAATGAACATTGTTTATTACATAGACATTACTATGGACTGCAGACTTTAAAAGAGGGTTTGCAGGTCAGATTTATTTTTGTATTATGGGTTGGTGTGTCTAATGCACCTCCATCAAAGGAGGGACCTTGCCCGTACCATTGTGGGTCAGGAGTGGGAAAGTTATTTCTTTCTTTGCTTAACCCGAGATAATCTTTTTGTTCTCATTTAGGGAAAAGGTATAGAAGAAACCTTTTGGCTAGTTGGAAAAGACGATTTTGCCAAACCTTTACCAAAGCCGCCAGATATAAAGCCGGGGTAGGTATTTCACCGCATTCACACCATGATCGGTAATTCCAGCATGCAAGTCACATATACTGTATTTTAGGGAATATAACGGATCCTTCCCTATGACTGGTTACATTGTATGTTTTTACTTAAAACTAACTGTATTTGTGAAATATCCTGAATTTCTGAAGAGTTCACACTTATCTGTATTATCTGGTATGGTGTGTATCATATTGTGATCTCCAATAGAAAGAAGAGCATAACCGGGAGCTGTAGCTTGCGGTATACTGAGCCTAGGGTGACGGGAGGGCGCTAGTTTGTGTCCTCACGTTAACCTAAGGAGAACTATGGGGAAAAGCCCTAACCCCATAGTTCTCCTTTAATATTCCCTACTCCATAATATCTGTAGAATTCACTGAATCCCCTATAATGGAAGTAACTGGGTGAGGATATATTATAGTTGAAAATATAATATCGTATACATTTAATTAATTTTTATAAGGCAGCTGGGAATGGTTAAACAAAAAATGTATATATTATAGCGTTCTTGTACCTATATGTATTAATGTTGTCATCTATCTGTGGGAGCATCCACTGTTTAGAGATTATCGTTCCCCTAGAGATACGTTTATCACATGATTTATCTTGTAGAATCCATAATAGAAGTCACCAGCACTCGATGATGTGTGCAAGAAGTAAAGCACTTTTTATTAAATCGTCACATGCGTCATACAGCCAACGTATCGGGGCCATGCAGTGTCCTTTCTTCTGGGCGACATAGTGACGTCACTATGTCGCCCAGAAGGGACCCTGCGTGGCTCCGAATCGTTGGCTGTTTGACGCATGTGACGATTTAATAAAAAGTGCTTTACTTCTTGCACACATCATCGAGTGCTGGTGACTTCTATTATGGATTGCATCTGACACGGCGCCATTCGTGTTGTCACGTCAAGCACCAACCTCTCATCCAAGGTCTGTACGCTGTATGGAGTGCAGGGGATTTCATATTATCTTGTAGAATGTTACAAGATCCAGTCATTGTAGCAAAATTCTACACTTTTTTTTTAGTAAATTAAAACTACTTTGAACTATTTGGAACAAATTTACTCCAATGGAAAGTGGAGAATGTTGCTACAAATTGCATAATCAATATATTTGGTCCTTTGAGATATCACTCAAAGGGCGTAGGAGCTTCTTTTCAGTTAGAGCGGGTACATTTTGAAACTCTCTTCCACAAGCAGGGGTATCAGCAGAGAGTATTGGATCATTCAGAAATCATTTTGATACCTTCCTCAGAGACCATAACATACATGGATACATGTACTATTAAATACTAGACCACACAGGGACTCATATACACACCCACAAACATATACAAACACACACACACAATAGGTTGAACTTGTTGGACCTGTGTCTTTATTCAACCTCAAATAATATGTAACTCATATGTTTGGGGGGGTCCTAGAATGGTGGGTGTTTTTTTAGATCTGGGTACATTTTAAACAAGGTTGTAATAAAGTGACAAAGGGTTTAGATTTTTAATGTGGTCATCATTTATATACTTAGTATTTCTTTAGGTGTATAATAGTATTGTAAGTCTGTTGTAGTCAGGGCCGTCCCTATAATGGCGGCATCTCATCGGGTCTCAAGAGCTTTTAGCAACCTGTGACTCTGTGGCTGGCATCCCACCCAGCTCCAGAGATGTCACTGGTTGCCAGCAGCTGAGCGGGATGCTCTGGATTGTGTCCTGTCCAGCGCCTGGTGACCAGCGATGTCAGTGAGCTGGACGGGACACCGGTGAGAACCAGAGTCAGAGCCAGCACCACCCCATTCCCCCTGCTAATGTGCACCACCAACACACCCCTTCACTACACCGCCGCCCAAAAATGCTCCATCAGCACCCCTGAAACTCTTTTTCCTCCTGCCTCAGGCGGCAAAAAGTCTAGGGACACCCCTGGTTGTAGTCCTCAAACATTGCTAATGAACATTGTTTATTACATAGACATTACTATGGACTGCAGACTTTAAAAGAGGGTTTGCAGGTCAGATTTATTTTTGTATTATGGGTTGGTGTGTCTAATGCACCTCCATCAAAGGAGGGACCTTGCCCGTACCATTGTGGGTCAGGAGTGGGAAAGTTATTTCTTTCTTTGCTTAACCCGAGATAATCTTTTTGTTCTCATTTAGGGAAAAGGTATAGAAGAAACCTTTTGGCTAGTTGGAAAAGACGATTTTGCCAAACCTTTACCAAAGCCGCCAGATATAAAGCCGGGGTAGGTATTTCACCGCATTCACACCATGATCGGTAATTCCAGCATGCAAGTCACATATACTGTATTTTAGGGAATATAACGGATCCTTCCCTATGACTGGTTACATTGTATGTTTTTACTTAAAACTAACTGTATTTGTGAAATATCCTGAATTTCTGAAGAGTTCACACTTATCTGTATTATCTGGTATGGTGTGTATCATATTGTGATCTCCAATAGAAAGAAGAGCATAGATAACAAGACGATTTACTTTTAGTAAAATTATTTTGATGATTTTAGCATTTGCACCTATATTTTTGCTTTGGAATGCCTTAAAAATGCCTTTTATCTTAGTGGAAATGCATTTCTTGATTTCTTACTCCAGTGCTCTATGCTGGCATGGATTAGTATCAGGCACATCCCTCATCATAAGAGTCCTCACACAGACCTGAAGTGTTGAGGAAGAGGAGGGGCGTGGCTGAACGGGTCACTAGGCAGTGTAGGCAGACTCAGTGGCGTCACAAGAGGGGTGCGGGGGCTGCGGCCGGCACCCGAGTGACAGCACTGGAGGGCTGACACCAAAAATGACTAACAGTGATTTTGGTGTCACCCCCTCCGAAAAGTTGGACACTCGGTCATGGACCGAGAGCCCGACACCTGCAGGAGAGAGGAGGGGACCCGGCGGTGAACGTCCCCCCCTCTGTCTGCCAGCATCCATCACCAAGATGAGCGCTGGCAGGTATCACAAAGATGGCCGCGCGATGACGTCCTCTGCACAAGTGTGGTGACGTCACGCGCGATGACGTCACGGCTGGGTGTCACCCGGTATCCTCTCAGAGTGACACCCGGCCTCGGTACGCCACTGGTCAGACTCTAATACCCATCGGACCACGCAGTTATATTAAGACATGGTACTCAACTGTTCTAACAGGAAAGTGGAGGTGAGAAGATAAAAAATTTGGGTTGTTTGTATTATTTCTGTCTGATTGAGTATTTATTCCTGTGGCTTCAATTGGGCTGATTTACAGTTTGCAAATCATGCTGGGCTTTCTAATAGAAAAGCCCAGCACTGCTCACACCTTATAAGTATATCTCATTCAGTCTGACAAGACCAACTCCAACCAAAACTTGTTTTTTTAGTGTCGATAGACTTGTGAACAGTAAATACTAAAATAATACATTTTAGTATTATAATAAACAAATAAATAATTTAAATATCTGTTGCTGTTTGTAACCCTGTTAGGGAGTTTTTACCTCACTTCCTGTCTCTGTGGCTGCAGAAACAATGGGAGGGGTTGTCAGTGTTGACGTGGAAACATTTGTTTGCAAATGGGCTTAACTGGACATGTGCTCTTTAAGATTACGCTTATCAATTGATCGTGGGCATTGATTTATGTAGCCAGTTTCTTTGCACTATATACCGTGTTTCCCCGAAAATAAGACAGTGTCTTATCTTTTTTTTTTGCACGAAATAAGACACAAGGTCTTATTTTCGGGGGATGTCTTACCTGGCTGGGGGAGGACCGGACGAGGTCCCGGAAACTTCTGTTTATTACTGGTTTATACATGGTTATTATGTTTAAATCAGGGATATGCACTTTTATTTTAGATAATATTAGGTATTGATATTGATTTTCATACTACTGTAAGCCCCTATTTAAAAGTTAGGGATGAGCACAGAAGGTTGTCTTAGGAGATTTTTTTTTAATAGTAACATTATTCTGATCGAGGTTTAAAGCCATTTATATCTCAATGTAAAAAGTGTTCCGTTAGTCCGTGCCCTCAGTAGAAGGATTTCCCTTCACTTCCTCTTCTGACATCAATAAAAACAGATACTGATGTACTTTCAACTCAGCTTTGGATGGGGTTGAGCTTTAATTCAGAGATGGAGGGCTGTGTCACGCCCTTTTGAGTCAAACTCCAATGTGTGTAAATTAAGGCCTGGAGCTATGGAGAGCAGAGGAATGAGCGGAAGGCCTGCATGACAAGGCTGGGAAGGGGAACGAGGATAGGAAAGGGTTAAGGAGTGATAGAAGAAAGGGTATAGAAAGGTCACTTACTTGATTGGTGGAAGGGGTGGTCCAGGAGGGGCTTCAGGAAAGTTAGCCAGGAAGGAGGTGTCCGGAAGGTCAGTTGGGAGTCCGGCAAGATAGGAAGAACTTCCCACCCACCCGCCCCATAGGAGGTGGTCTGTGTTTCTGGGTATTTGTCACAGCTGGGGATGGTGGTTTGGATCCTTGGAGGCAGTTGTTAGTGGGTACATATCTAGACGGGGACCCATCCGTGGTATGGGTGTCCTCCAGTAGTCGGACGGTCAGATTGGTATGACCGGTAAATAAGGGACCAACGTGGGTCTGCGGGCAATCTAGTTACGTCCCCGAGGCGGTGTATGGCGGCTGGGGGCATTCAGTTACAGGAAAGGTGCCCCCAGATACTGGTCCATTTATAGAGTACAATTGCCTTCAAGGACCTTGAAACCAAACTAGTTGGTACAGTGTGTTTTGGTTGTTAATATTGTTAATATGGTTATTTATAAGTATTTATAATAAAAGGCTGCTGTGGCCATTTAAACTCCCATTGTTGTGTGGCATAGTTATTGGTAACAGGGAAAGGGGGGTTTGGAGGGAAGTGGGTAATGGAAAGGGACCTCTGAGCTACCTGAGTCATGTGATCTCCCTCCTTTTCAGGCATGTTTCACAACAGGAATTGTTTCCAAAGAGCAAAAACCATACTTCATGCAATATTTTCATTGTCATGCATGTGAATCTGCCACAG